TGGCAGGAGGAATCCACCCAGTCCCCAAATTCACTAGATTCTGCAACACCTACCACTGCCTATCCGGGAGAACACTCCTGCCAACTGGAACTCCACCTCTGTGCAACTCTCTCTGTGCTGTCCAAGTGATTCATGAATGACAAATTTAGAAGCCTTAAGATTTAAAAAATTCAAAAGGCACACATGATGCCAATTCATCTGACCAGGCATGAAAGCATCTTACAGGCAAAACAGTATTAGAAATCCTTTTCACAAAGACTGCTAGGCTGTTCATTAGAAGGAGTAACTAAGACCCCCGGCAAAGCTCCCTACTTCTGAGCAAAACCAGAGACCACCTTAATTACTGTGAGGCTGCATTTTGCAGCTCCCTGTCCTATTCCCTGCATTGCCCTCTGCTGTCTGAAATAGCGATTAATCACTTCCCATGAAAACAACAGAGCAGAAAGTCCTCCTGGCAGCACACTACAAACAGGCTGCTTACCTTGTAGTCAGCTTTTGGCTTGCGCAGCTCTGGGGCGTAGTTTTTGATTCCTGTGTCAGAGAGGGCTGAGAGGGAAAGGCAAAGCTGAGTAGCACATCAAAATCCTGATTCATGCCCACTTCCAAAAACACCCTTTTCTTGGTTTCTGTGGCAGAAGACTCAAACTCAAGCACCAAATGGCAATACAAAGATGCTCTAAACCCAACAGTCACCAGTTGTACATAAGCAGATTACCCCAAACCATCATGCCAACTCTTTCGCTTCTTTGCTGAATGACTTTCAAACAACCCATGATTCAGTTTCCCTTTCCACAACATAAGGAAGGTGATGCTTCCCTTTTTTACAGAAATCTGCACCCCTCCCAAAGTGAGGCACAGATTCAAAAACTTACCATCTGAAAGGGACTGAAAACTTGGAAGTTTGTTTCGTCCTGAAATCAAAACAAACACTCATGAGAGACTGTCTCTTCACCAGCAATATCTCTTGCAGAGGGAACACTAGCCTAGACTGCACGCTGCAGCTGTGACACTGTAGAACAAGCCATTCTGTAGAGTGACTCACACTACACCAGCACAGCTGGAGCTCACCTGCTTGCAGTTTAAGGATTTGAAGTTGTCTATGGCATCACAAGCCATATCACACCCTGGCCCTATCTGCCCTCTTGTTGCTGAGGCCAGGGGAGGGAGGTTAGAGAGCCTGAATTCACCCCTCTACCTGCAGAGCAGAGGCTTAAGCACACAGCATTGCTTAGGCCATGGCAACATGGACAGCTTCCTTCACCGGGGCTGAGATTTGGCTGCCTTTCATTATCACTATATTATCAAAGTTGAGAGTAAAAAAACACCGCAGAGAAAGACAGACAAAGTAAAAGCTGGTTTGTTGTCTGGCTGTGAGACAATAGAGCTGAACTTTATGCAAGCTGCATAAATCTCCCCACCGCCTGCTGCACAGTTCCCCCCATAACGAGCTATGCTACCATGTGTTTGCTGAAGCACAACAACAGCAGCCAGCTGACCTCCAAATAAAGGCTAATCAACCTGTCTGCTCTACAGCACTGGAGATCAGATGAGGGCCACATGGGTCAAGCCAGTCCCTTTGTAGCCCGCTCTTTCCCACCATGCAAATGGATTGCTGTACAGTGCTGTGCCTTGCTGTTCTGTGGAACCTGGCTTTTAAGCAGTCATAATCTCCAAAGCCCCCTCCCATATCACAAGAGCACACGATGTTCTGCACAAGACAGTATCCAATTTCTGACCAGTGAAAGATACACTCCCACACTGAGGAGAGATCAGAGCTTCCCTGTTTTGCAATACACTTAAGAAAAAACAATTTACATAAGATAACACAATTGCCTCTTGACACTCTTGAGGGAAAACCTATTTGTCCATATATTGTATATGAGGAACCTCACCTTTGAATAGGCTGCTTAGGGAGTAGGAGGAAACTTGTTTGGGAAAAGCAGCATAGGAGGAAGAGCCCTTCTGTAGGCTGGAGTCTCGGCCCTCCAGCGAGCTAGTGCTGCTGGAGGCTGTCTCTTTGATTGACCAGGAGATACCTATGTGCAGACAGAGGTCATTTATAACAAAGGAAGAGAAAACCAATAAAGAATGATCTTATGGCATGGCAGGAATGTTACCAACTGTGTCCTGGCCAGTTCCGCACTAGCACATCCTGGTAGCTTTGACCCTCAGCACTAAGTAGATGCAGTGCACAGAATCCCAGTCTCATGTAATACTGCTTGTTAAACAGTTGTGCACTGTCATCCAGAAATGGTCGATTTCAGCAATATTGTACAGCTGGTTACGGCTTATATAAAAAAATGCCTAGACAACCCAATATGTTGTTGTATGGGGTAAAGCATAATAATCCTTGCTCTAAAGACAAAGAGCAAGACAGAGAATTGCTGGCTTACTTCAAATCACAGAAACATAAGAACATACCTTCCTGAACACTAGAAAACTAAGACAGTTTTCCTCCTCACACAGACAAAACAGCTATCAATGCACATATGCTGCTGGCAATGCAAATGTCTCCCTCCTGCTTGTTCGAGACTTGGTTTTCGCTTCTTTTCACACAGCTGCACAACACACATTTTAGGACAGGGTGAGAGAGCATAAAAACCGATAGGTAGAGACTTTGGGTGGGAAAAGAAAAGGCCTGAACCAGATGGAGGAGCTACAGCATAGGACAAGAAGAACAGACTCTTTGAAGGTCCTCTGCGTGATCCAGATGTAAATTTTCAGTTTGGCACTGGTTAGCAAGTGCCACATATTCTGTGGCTCATGAACTCCAAAGCGCAGCAGACAGCATCGTGTGTGGGTCATGAGCTCATTCCATCATCCCTAGAAATGCATTTGCTTAATGCTTATAATTCCCTTTCAAACTTCAAGCATAAGAGTCAGTATGTAAACACACACTAAACCTTAGAATATCTCCTTAAAGTGCTGTGGGACAAAGCACAGAGAAGTTTAAATGGTGCTATTTCAGGCAGCAGTGTGAAGGAAATGATCACCCAGAATCCTGCAGGGCAGCTGAGCATGATGAATATCAAGCCATAACCTTGGAAATATCTGCTCTAAGCTGGGCTACATATTGGGAAAAACACAGTGATTTCCCCCCACTTGTCTGCACTCCTCTTCTTTATGTAACTTGGGATTCTACTCGCTTTTTTCCAGTGGATTCACACAGGTAGATCAAAGTGGCTCACAATGTGACCTGAGGAGACTAGAATTAGATTAGATATACAGGATTAGATAGCAAGTAGTGCTCCTGACCTCGACTAAATGACATGACTGAAGTTGTAATTTTAAACTCCCTCTGTCGCAAGGATGACTTGCAGTACTTATGCACTTACTTCCCACAGGTTCTCCGCTCCAGCTGACCCTCTCAAGGTCGTCATCATCATCATCGACGATATCCCGAAGGCTATTCACTGCCCGTTTGGATTCCTTTAGCTATGGATGAAAGAAAGAGCTCGTATAAAGACCACTAGTGTTGCAGAGTACGCTTTGTTTCCTATTACCTTCAAACAACAACCCCCACCGCCCTCCTGAGCTTTGAACACAGCTTCTTCAGCTTCCACTGCTTCTTCTGGAGGAGGTATTTTACACCTGCAGGTGTTCAACAGACACAGCAGCCCTTCCTCACCCCTGGGAATCCAAAAGCCACCGACACCTATACAGACAGCTATACGGCCAGCTCAACAGCAGGAGACGCAGTTTGGTGCACGGGCGACGAACCACGGTTCCAATGAAATTTCGGATGGGCTACCGGGGGGGGGAAGGGGGAGGAGATGGGAGCCCTCAGTGGCCTCCACACAGGGCAGGAGGCGGGCGAGCATCCACCCCACCCACGAAGCACAGACCGTCAGGGAAGCGCGGAGCCGAGGGCTCGGGCCGAGACGTCCACGGCGGAGGTGGGGAGTCTCATATCGGGCCACGGCGGACCCGGGGCCGGACCCTACCTGTGACAGCTCGTCATCCTCGTCGTCGAAGGTGAAGGCCCGGAACTTGGAGCTGTGCCAGTACTCCTCCTCGTCCGCCCTCGCCCTGCTCATCTGCAACGGCACCGCGCGCCTGCCTCAGGGAAGCGGCTGTCTGAGG